ATTGGTACATTTGTACAGATTTGTACAGTGGTGTTCTTTAGAAATTTGAGTTCAGTTCAGCTCAATAAAAGAATATCCAAACAACTCTACTCTGTAACTGCCAAAATGTACAAATCTGTACAAATGTACCAATCGTGTGACACTGCCTCAAGAATTTCATACAGAGTAATCCAGCAAGTATTGTGAAAATTACTTTTATGTTATTACAGTGTTAAATACCAATTTGATATGTGATTTTAGTTAATTTAATATGCNGTGATGTTCTCAAGAAATTTGAGTTCAGCGCAATAAATCAATTTCCAAACAACTCTACTTTGTAACTGCCAAAATGTACAAATCTGTACAAATGTATCAATCGTGTGACACTGCCTCAAGAATTTCATACAGAGTAATCCAGCAAGTATTGTGAAAATTACTTTTATGTTATTACAGTGTTAAATACCAATTTGATATGTGATTTTAGTTAATTTAATATGCAAATGAATTCAACTGTTGACGAGTTTAAAAGCTTTATTTTCACTCTGTATTTTATATAAAAACCATAAAAATATTAATAAAAACTATCAACGATCTAAATTAAAAATTCAAACTACCATTTTAATTTAAGAATTAGNTATTGTGAAAATTACTTTTATGTTATTACAGTGTTAAATACCAATTTGATATGTGATTTTAGTTAATTTAATATGCAAATGAATTCAACTGTTGACGAGTTTAAAAGCTTTATTTTCACTCTGTATTTTATATAAAAACCACAAAAATATTAATTAGGGAATTTTGGTAATACTTTTCTTTTGAACGCCGCGGCAACACTGATTATATCGTATTATATAAATATGTAATGAACATACATATGTGCATTGTACAGATGCAAATATTTTGGTTTCAGTTAAGTTACANGTACTTAAATCTTTTTTGTTTTTTTTTTAATGATACTTTTGATCCATTTTAGGGAATTTTGGTGATACATTTCTTTTGAACGCCGCAGCAACACTGATTATATCGTATTATATAAATATGTAATGAACACACATATGTGCATTGTACAGATGCAAATATTTTGGTTTCAGTTAAGTTACAGTTAGTTACGACTATTTACGCTTGCTACAAATAGCAGCTATTAAGTTTGAAATGATAAATTGTAATGGATCGTGGTGGTGACACCGTACTACAACAACGGGAATAACTAACTGCTCGTACAAGCGATATTTATGTATGTACATATGTATGTACATACATTTGTTTGTACGTTTTGCCTTTTAAATAAGTGCTTACCCTGCTGGAAATTGAAATTTGCCAAAGCATGCTTGGTGTNAGTTAGTTACGACTATTTACGCTTGCTACAAATAGCAGCTATTAAGTTTGAAATGATAAATTGTAATGGATCGTGGTGGTGACACCGTACTACAACAACGGGAATAACTAACTGCTCGTACATGCGATATTTATATATGTACATATGTATGTACATACATTTGTTTGTAAGTGCTTACCCTGCTGGAAATTGAAATTTGCCAAAGCATGCTTGGTGTTTATAAAAGTGTTTAATTTATTAGGAAACAATTAATCCATCGTAGTGAGACTTAGACAGCTGAAAAGCCTTACTTTAAATTCGGATTTGAAATTTGAAGTTGTAGGTAGTATACAGTATAGTTTTTATAATGGGGCTTTATAAACTGTGCCGAATTTATATTCGACTTATTGAAAGTTGGGATTCATTTGCTTGTTTCAGCCAGATTATATTTGTTCCTATGGGGTCTACTACCGCTCACCAACACATACTGAAAAACAGCAACGTATGAGCTGCAGTTGTGGTTGAATGACTATATTTCCTTCAAATAAATATGAATTGTAAAAATTCTCAGTTGAATTATTTGTATGGGTATCATAACTTTTATTGCTAAATTGTGTATTTTATTCATTTTATACGCAGACCCACATTCATACATACCTTCATATGTATGTTCAAATGAATGTGTGCACTTAGTTTTAAAATTTTTACGGTCGTTTTTGAAAGTTACAGTTTGTCGCTTGTCGACTATGTAAATTATTATTACGTATATTTAGATATTTGTTATTAAATTTATGACTCAAACTTTGTAAATTTTAAGAATTAAATACATTTATGTATGTGTAATCACACTCCACACTATGCAAAACATGAGAAATAGGCAACAATCGTTAATGGCAACAAATTGGCGACTCAAAAAAAATAGGCAGCCCTATAGCGAAAGAACTAATTAATTCCGTTTCTAAGTTCCAATTTTCTATAAAAAAAATAAATGAAGTATTAAAAAGAATAAAATGATTCCAAATATCGCCTAAAGCGATAAGAAAACGACTCGCCTAGGCTAGTTACCTTCGGAGAACGTTATAGAGCGACTGGTAATAAGAAATCGATACAATGGCGATATTACCGGCAATAAATTTATTTCCGAGGGCGACATGGTTTCTTTTTGTCGGCCACAAAAACTGTATGGTGGGTCCCAATGTCTACATGGCTAAACATGTGTGCGTAACTTTCTTTGTTTTGCATATTTAGTTCATTAATATTTCCTAAGTCAATGAGCTCAAGGTGAGGTTTATCAAGAAAATTCCATTGGGTATAGTGCAGAAGCTTACACCCAGTGCTTCATGCAAGGGATTTCTACATGGATGTTTTAAAAAAGAAGAATGGGTGGTGGGATGCAAATTTGTCGAAAATACAAAAGTAACCCACTGAGATGACTCACTTAACCGCAGGCACGAATGGAAGGGCATCTTAAGAGATGTTTATGGCATCATTCGGAGCGATCTTTAGCTTAACGCTAAATTCTAGTGCAGACGTCAGTAATGTATAGCCGAAACACTTAAGGTTGATTTGTTGGCCTTTGTTGATTTTTACGACAGGATGGGACGCTGATGCATTTTAGCCCGAAATTCAAGTCCTTCCTTGTCAAGTCTGTTTTGAAGGCAGACATGAGCGGCATATGCTTAGAACTACACCCTGAGGTAACCAAGAGGATGCACTCTTACGAGGGAACAGCTGGACGTGTTATGTTTGTTATTTGTAGTCTTGTTAAATAGTTTTCTAAGGACAATTTAATGTAAAATAATACAGTGGTACAACCAATTAAGGGCCTCAAAGAAATCATAACCAGACGGTAGTAACCGCGCGCTAAGACTATTTTGACCCACTTCATATTGTTATTTAGCTCTCTTACGTGTAACTGTAGACTACTGGTTCAATTCGAAGATTTTCCGGTAAGTAATTATGTGCCTTATACATAAGTTAAATGCCGTGCTAAATTAGAAATCCCCTCCCAGGCTCTTAAAAAACTAGAAAAGCGGTCGAATGAATATGCTAGCGATGACAAGAGTTGTGATCATAAATAAGGAAACCCAGAAGCCATAAATAACGAAGAAGGATGAAAATACATTTATCGACCACTTATTAACAATACCGATTTTGGTGATAAGAAATTTAATAGTTAGATAAAATCTATCACTAAAAATTTTGATTCCTTTAGGGATATTAATTGCGTTATCCTTATAAGATATCGATATTCTGAAAAAAAATCGATATTAAAATTGAAGATATGCAATCTTACCTAACCCTTTCTGGGCTTTTCAGCGATCCGTTTAACGTTTACATATAAACGAGCGTAATACCGCCACCGATTTATATTTTCCCTTTGGCATTTTTTCGATCTTCAATGCTACTCATCCCATCATTGGGGGCACAAAATACTTAACATGTGTGTGTGTGTGTGTGTGCAAACCAATTATTTGTAATTTTACTTTTGTGATTTATCTTACATAAAAACTACACATTAAAAAAGTGTTGGGAAGTTTAGCTTTAACAATAACATTCATATTTACAAATTAATTAGTTACTTAATCAAGGAACTTTTTCGTACTATAATATCTATAATTTGTAAATTTCAAAAAAATATATAAATTTATGTACAGTGATTTGCCAAAAGGATAGATATTTACAAAGAAAAAATGCATAACAAATTTATATACAAGTACATAGCGCCAGAAAAGAAAGAAAAATAAAAAATAAATTACCAAAAGAGAATACACAAACCAATTAGGAAGCATAAAAACATAAAGAATAAATGCAAGAAAAAAACGGAGTAAAGTAAAAACAAAGCAAAATGAAAAAAATATATACATAAAAAATATTACGTCGGAACAAATGAAATTAATTAATGTGACATGTCTGAATGCTTGCCTTGCCAAATCGATTAAATGCATTGACAAAAAGCTGAGAGATTCGATCAAATAATGTATGTACAAAATTTTTTAAAATTCTCTTTATAGTAAATAAACTCAAATAAAGAATGTTATTATAAATATAATAAGTTATGTCTTTATCAAGCGTTTTGCCACTTAAATTTATAATTTTTCAAAAAATGGATTTAATCGATTTGGTAATCGAGGCATTTAGCTAAAAAAACCATTATTTTTTAAATTACAGACACCAAATGCTTGAATATATATGCAAATTTTCACGTAAAAAAATAAATTATTTTATAAACTGCGATTTTTATTCTGAGTTTTTTAAGTGTTTCTGAAAAAAAAGTCTGCGAACTAAGAGATTTTTTTTTAACAAAAAATAAAATTATGTGAAACTAGTTAGAACGAATTGATGAAAATCAAGTAAATTTAAAGAAAATAAATCAAAATTTATTAAGGCAATAAAAATATGAAAAACTCAACTAACATAAAACAGCGCTATGTACAATTAAGAAGAAGTCATTAGGTAAACTATTGAAGTAAAGAAAGGTCACGGTATAGTAGCTCCCAGGCATTACTCATACGCCGCGTTGTGTCACTGTACAATGTTAATTTTTTGTGTGTTTGTGTTTTTTTTTTGGCTTTTGGTATAACTTTAAAAAGCATCTATTTTAAAAATTATTGGAGTCTCTGTTGTTGTTTGTTATTTTTCTTTGTTATTTTTTTTTTTGCAATTTTATATACGCAGCTAATATAATGGCAAATCTAGTAATTACCTGGTTGGCTGGCGCAGCGTTCGGTTGTTGTTGTTGATAATGAGATGGTGGTTGTTGTTGCTGCTGCTGCTGCTGCTGCTGCTGCAAGTGTTGTGGCTGATGCTGTTGCGCTGGTGGTTGTTGTTGCTGTTGCGAACCCGATACAGGATAATGACCAGATGTTGGTTGTGGCGTGAATTCCCTAACGACACGCTCTTCCGATACGGGTGGCCAAGCAACGCGCTTATAACCTTTAACGAGAGCGAAGGAGTGTAGTGAGAAATAAATTAGTTTAAAAATGTATATATGTATGTGGTAAGAGCTTAGCGTGAACAATATGTATGTACGCACAAAATGTGGCAGTGAACTTGGGACAAGACAAATGCTTAACGTAGTATGCATGAGGGCATTGTGCTTACTGTGGAATGTAGGCCTGAGAAATATACAAATATGTATATATGTATATATGTATGTATGTATGCAAGATGGAATTTGAAATACTATCTACAGATGTATGTACGAATATGAATACATATTTATTTGTACGCATTATTTTCAGTTTTGATTTTGAAAGCTTTACTGTGAAGCATATTTCTATTTTAATTGGCAATTTTTGCATTTATCAACTATTTTATTCTTTATTAAATTTTACTTTTTGTTATGCTTTATTTTTATTTTTCCCCCAAAACAATCTAATGCATTCATCATAACCATGGATGAAACTACTCAGGATTGTAACAAGTCTATGTTGGACAACGAACATCGCTGGAAAACACCGTAAAGGAAAGCCCGCCGCCCAAGAATCGGCAGCGATGATAAACAGCAGCACAAAAAAGACAAAAAAAACAAAGGCCGCTATTTGAGCTAGTGAAATGAAAATAGGGTAGTAGAGCTATAACGAAACGAAAAGGAGACACCTGACTTGGGTATAAAGTAGTCATGGAAAAACCTGTAGGAATGGCAACTAATCCAATTAAGGCGCACGCAAAATTTACTATTATCGCAATACTATTCTCGGCACACGATTCCATACCTAATGAATCCGAGAGAATCCCTCCACCAGAGCAAATCCAGCTTTCTGCACCGAATTAACTCCAAGTGGGGGCAAGCAAACTTAAAAAAATATTAAATCACCAGACCCAGATTGTGGACCAACCGAAGTGCTAAAAATTATAGCACCCATGCCACCGGAGGCTGTGTGTGGTCTTTTAGTGAAGTTAGTGGAGCTGTTGAATGTAGATGAACTGATTAAACGATCCAAACTTGATTGGGCCATAAATCCTTTTCCCCATATAGGTCATCCAGGCTCGATGGCGTTTATTCAGAAATGCTTCAAAAATCAGATCCAATCATTGTTGATTGGCTAGAACAGATCTTTTTCGCTTGCATTAGGCTCTCTGGCTCTCCCATGTGCCGATTATTGGAGAACGCCTAAAGTAGGACTTCTTCATAAAGCCAGTAAAGTGAACCACGTGAATCCTAAAGACTAAATACCAATTAGTTTAACACCTTTCATCTTAAGGACCCTCGAAAGGCTGATGACATTTATATGAAAGCCAGAATAGATCACTATATAAATTTAATACCCAGCATGCCTATATATAGGGTAAATGTACCAAAACAACTTTACAAAGGGTTGTTGGTCAAATTGAAAAAGCCTTGAACGAAAGAGAAAATACGATAGGGGTATTGCTCGACATAACAGGCGCTTTCAATAACATTTCAGCCAATGCCATATAAGAAGGGGCTGAACTGGTATGGATTAACATAACCCGAAAAAACTGGTTACGATAGATACTAGGTTGCCGCATAGTCTCGTCCGAATGTGATTCCACCTCCCTTTCTATGGTCGTTAGCAGCCAACAGAATCCTTAAAGCTTTTGAAGGCAGAGCGTCCAAAATAACTGCCATTGCGAACGGGTTTCGCACTTAGCCTATACGGAAATATCTCAAAAGGATGAGCTACCTGATGCGCCAGACACTTCGCGATATTTATATATGGTCCAAGAAAGTAGGGCTCAGTGTAAATCCGGACAAAACAGACCTAGTGCTCTTCATATTATTCTTCTCCTTTGTTGGCATTGTAACCGCCTAAGCGATTTTGGCCGAGTCCAAAGCAGTACACCAGTCGTCTCTCCATCCGGAAGTATAGAATTCAGGAATGAAGGAAGCCTCTCAGCTAGGGGGTGCGACCTAACACAGAAAAATCACACGAAATATTTTGGAGTAATACTGGATTCTAAACTGACATGGAAGCAAAATGTTGAGGAAAGCGTGAAAAGGCGTAGAGTGCAAAGACTAGCGATTGAAGGAATAGAAGGAGCATTGAAGTCTACGATGACTGCTGCGCTAAGCGATATCCTGCACATATCTCCAACAGATCTGGCTGCTAAAAACTTAGCCTTGCTCACTCGGCGATTGCCACTGTTGGAGCAGCGCGACCAAATGATTTACATATTTATTTATGTCTATCTGTCAAACGAGCTCTCCACCATGCAAGTTGACAAGGGAGCTGTTTTTTAAGACTTTCGTGCCGTGTCATTGCAGTACAAAAGTCTTAAAATAATGCTCTCTCATTCAGCACTCGTGCTGAAAAGCTTTTGAGAGAAAGCACTTGTATATCAATTAGCTCGCGCCGATCCAATAGTCGTAATGGCCGAGTAAACAAAGAACTGGTGCCCTTTTCGAGAGATCCGGGTTCGAAACCTCGGGCTGGGAACTTTTTTTACTATAATTTTTTCTTTTTCAATTTAGTTTTCTTTTAATTATGAAATCGAATTGTCCTTAAAAGAAAAAAATAATAATTTCATTTAATTTTTATTTATATATTTTTTTTTTATTTTAAGATTTTACTGTTTTAAAAAGAAAAATATATATCTTTTTTACATTCGTTAAATTTTAATTTTATTTTTTTCTATGAAATTTCCTTTTTGTTTTTAGCTTTTATTGTTTTAAGAAGTAAAATAATTTTTTTCACTCAATTCAATTTTTATGATTGTATTCATTTTTTAATTATTTGATTATTTTTTGGTTAATTAAATTTTATTTAAGTTTTCAAATTTTGTTTTAAAAGTAAATATATGCATATACACTTTTTTAATTTCATCTAATTTTTCTTTTTCTAATTTATCTTTGTTTTAATCTATTAGCCTTTATAGTTTAATTGTTGTTAAAAAGTAAGTAGTTATTATTACTCCACAGTAATGATAACATGTTTGATTTTTCATTTCATTTTAAATATTTTGATTTATTTTTGATTTATTTTCATTTATCTTTTTATTTAATTTGCTTTTGCTTATTGGTTTTTATATTTAAAAAATTATGTATGTATACTATATATATATATATATATCAATTAAATCGATTAAAAAAATTTATTGCTAAAAGGCTAACATCATAACGCTTAGACCTCGTCGTTAGCAGATCTGTCAGTTAGTCTTTCGAAAGCTACCAAAGTGCATTCAAGATGATTTCTAGAATTTGCATTTGACATAAGAAGGACTTTTGTCTTTCGAAAAACTGTGGTAAGCTGAAAGACAGTTGCCAGAATTGCCCTGATAACCTAACCTAACTACAGATTTCGGGAATTTTGCGCTTTCAAGTTTTTCTACTAGTGTTTTGTGTAGCACTATAGTAAAATTAATTCTATAATATACAAAAATTCTAATTTGTTAAAATGTATCTACTATTTAAATAATTCCTTTCAATCTAGCAATCAGAATTTTGTAATTTCTTTTAATTTACATTTACTTTGAAATACAAATGCAAATTTTTTGTACAACTTTTAACAAATACAATTAAAAATGCAGGAGTTGGCAAGAAAAAACCATTACCAAAACCAAACATTTTCCATCATTTCTTTTGTCATTGCACTGTTACGGCAGCCGCTGCATTAGTTTAACAGGCAGCCGTTGCCAGACATGTCAGTCGCCACAATCAAGCGGCGAAGTCACGCTGACAAAAAGTGAAGTTGGTTGTTGCAACAACAGCAGCTAATTGTATGCCAGCAATTGCGGTATACATATGTATGTATGTATGTATGTATATAGGTACATTACGAGTTGTTGTTCTATTGTTCTGTTTGTGATGTTAAATTTATTATGTTTTTGCACAGCAACGGCAGCGGGTGGTAAGTTTGATGAGGAAACACTCGCCAATCGCCACTCACTCAACATTTGCATAAATTCATTATAGTTTACCCCAAAAACTATTTCAATTTAGCATTCGTGTTGTTGTTGCTAAAGCTGAGCATGATGCTTAGTGCGCTACTGCAAATTTTTGTATGTTGCTTTGTTTTGGATTAAAAAAAAATGTCTGCTGAACATTTTCCCTTAGCCAATTTCGCGTACTTACTATCTTTATTTTAATTTATGTAATTGGTTGTTCTATTTTTATGGATAGAACTGTATGTGTGTGTGTGTGATTGCGAGCTATAATTGCCTATTTCTATTTTCCACTTCTCTTTCCACTCAAATGCTTATTGTGTAAGTGCATTTTGTTTCTGTAGGGTCACTTATGTTTTCACAAATAATTGAAGTGTGCTTTTTAAATTAATTTTTTATATGTGTATGGATGTTTTGCACTTGCATTGCTACCCTTCGTACACTGCATTGGTAGTTTTAAAACCCAACTGAAATAAGCTTAACTTTTGGGTGAACTTCATTCAACTATGTATGTATGTATGTATGTATGTATGTATGTATGTATGTAGTACTCAAAATTGTTGTTATTTTGTGCCAAGAGAATTTCATTGAAATTGAATGACACTTGAAATTGACCTTTGTTGGCATTGTTCCCAAACAATTTGCACGAATAACTGTAGCCAATTTTTTACGTAGTTTATTTCAGACAATCTATAAATTTTTTTTTATTTACATATTTTTTGTGTGTACAACAATGAAGAGTGAATAATTAAAATAGGTTGACACAAGTATGAGTGGTGAAAATTAAGAAGAATTTCGCTCGCAAAAAGTAAGCAAACGACATTTTTTTTGGTTGACCGTGGCGTATGAGCAACCGATTGGTAATTAGGCAGCTCATATTCGACATACTTAAAAGCATAAATAAATATCGTCATTAAGCAGTTAACCGTTGCTAATAAATACTTGTATATTGGCATTTGACTTTAATTTATAAACCATTAATTGACATTAATTTACGATTAAGCGCGTCTCCTATAGTGAGTTATATACTCACAACGTTCATGTATATGTATTAATTAAGAGAAATAATAACTAAGCACATATGTACA